GCACACCACTCAAACACTGAGCTGAAGACAGAATTATTCATTCCCTTCTGGGCTTCCCTATGGTTTTCATCATGCAAAGCTCTGAGAGCTTCCTGAAGGTTAATTTATCTTAACAAAACCTCTCCGAAGTGACAAGGTAATATATTCCACTTTACAGACAGGTAGCAGAGACACATAGACAACAGCCACTTCTGAGCTACCCAGGGCCCAAATTGTGGGATTTTGTCACATTTTATAATAATCTGCATCTTCAATCACGTCATTCATTCACTTTAATTGCAACTGTGACTGCTCAGTGCTTCTTCATATGAGCCATCTGGGTCCTGAGATGGGCATTCAGAAATGAGAAGCTCACTGTTATTGACCCTATGTGAAATGTCTGATGTAAGTGAGTCCCTCAGGAACTCAGATGGTCAGAGACAGACTCTGCTTCTAGGCAGAACTTAACTGCCCTGAGAGGAAGGCATTCATTCTCTTCCAATGCATGTAAAGTATAAGCACCACATATGACAGACAGCTTTCTTTACTTTCCAGGCCTAAGCAAGAATCTATTCTTAGACTAGCAGAACTTTGTCTAATGAGTGAAGTATGAATCCAGGTTAAAAACAGGAGGGGTTCACCTGAAGTAGATCATAATTTCCTGGAATGAAAGAAATTGATTAAGATAATAGACAAACTTCATTATGATATTTATTTCCTAATTTTCAACCCTTTCATTGATGCTTAATTTTGTTGTAGAATCTTTCTTTTCTCTTACCTTTTTCCTGTTTCTCCAGATACTAATTGCAGGGGGGTTGCACAGCTAGTCCCTTTGCATGTCTGTTCACTCTGTGAAAATGTCATATATGTGCTAAGTCAGCATTCAGGGCTCTGAGAAATTTAGGGACCATGAATGAATGCAGACTTCTAAGGGATGTGAGCTGCTATTGAGCATATGCAATCCATTTTTATTCATATTTTTAATAGTGGCCAAATGCGCAAGAATTTTCACAGGAATGAAATGTCCAAATACAAATGATACCTCAAATATCATGTTTCTGATTTGAGGAGGTAGAGTGGAAGAGTATTTAAAATAAAAGATCTTTAAAGTAAAATAGAAACTAATTTCTAATATTTTTATGATCCTCTCCTCTTCCACTGCTGGTTTCATAGATAGTTGATATACATTTGAATAAGTGGAGAAAACCCAAAGGTAGCAACCACCACTTGAAACCCTGAAAGGCAAAGCTAGCATAGAAACATTACAACCCAAATATATAGTTTTGCAAAGTACAGATCTATAAAGTGTGAGTATGGCTTATGTTTATGCAGAACAGTAATCAGAACAAGAAGTCCCACAGAAGTAAGAAAAAGCATCACTTAGCAAGTGTTCTTCAAACAGCTAATTGTCTCAAATGCTACTAGTTTTGAAGGATTCTACATTTATTCTCGGTCATGAGTAAGGTTATGATGTTGCTTCCTCATGACATAGCAGTCAATTGTATCAAATTTCTGGGAGTCTACAGTGACAAAATATACAAATGGGAGAAATTCTTGTCCCCAAAGAACTTAAGACACAAAAAATTGTTTAGAGTTTCTCTCTTTAAAGATCACAAATTCTCTGAGCATAAACAAGGCTCTCATCGGTTTGGGTACTAATAATTCTATGTGTGTGTTATCTCCTTTAACTGAATAAATATTCAATTATGTAAGAAGTCCCTGATACTCTCAGGTTTGATAGTCAACCCTTCACAAGCTCTTTTCCAAGTTATTACCAAAAAAATTACTACTTGAGTTATGGTGCTACTTCCAATATATAATTACATACTGTTGACAAGAGACAACAGTGACGTGCTGGGAGAGCCTCATCTGAGCACTTGGGTTAACAAAACCAAAGAGCAACCTCCAGTGAGGAAAATCAGCTTCCATTTCAACTTTTATAAGTCACACATTTCATCAGACAATAAAAAATTTTCCTTGAAACTGTAAAGAAATCATTGAAATAATGATAAAAGAGCTGAAAATATCAGTCAACACAAAAAACAATATAAAAGATAACTTTTTTCGGTTTTGTTTTTAATTTAGCTTGTTGTATAGCAATACAATCATGGTCTCAAACATCAGCTGATCAGTTTCCTACAGGGCAAAGCAGCCCATATCAGTCCATGTCTTTATGGGACCAAAGCACTCCAACCTTGTTGCTGATAAGCCAAACAATAACTTTCATTTCTAACATTTACTGATCTTGAAATCTCCATAATCACTTTTTTCCTTAAGAGTTAGAACAGATGCACAGATCTGGGATCTGTAAGCTGGGCAGAGTTACAAACATGCGGAGCCATTAATGATTTTGAAGGAGCATTTGATCTGGAACATGTATTGCAGTTATAATACGATACAGAAGAGATCTACATAATTCAGCTCCAAGGCATCATAAAAGGGTCTTCCATTTTTACATTTCATTGGCATGTTTGAAAAGTAATTCCACTGTGCATGGACAAATTTTTCTGACCTGGGAGGATGTCCTGTGATGTCTCATCTGTTAGAATCATTAAGAGGGAGGAAAAAAGGCACCAGGAATCTCACATGCACCGTATCATTCATGTTATAAAGCACAGCTGGTACTTCTCTTAAGTTAGACTACATTAAAAGTCTTTCTACAGCACAAATGGCAGAGATTTCCCACAAGACAACTAGGCATTCACTGCCCAGATTCATAGAGCATGGTTGATTGTGGAGAAGTCACACCCATCAGGATGAATTTTAACATTGATAATGTGAGGTGGATTATTTTTGCTTTCTGTTTAAAGTATTTCATCAAATCATATGGCTTGTTGCAGCACATCAATAAAATAAAAATAATAAACATGTAACCAAGTTAAAGGATTATTTCCATGAAATCCATTTCCTGATACATCCTCTGTTCTGATATTTTAATAACCATATATATATATATCTATATTATTTTTTATGTCCCTGGGGCATTAATTTAAGATTTCATTAGTTCCATTGACTACAAGTTATTTGGCAGAATTATTCTCTCTTTTAAATTAAAATTTGATAAAATTAAATTTACCTATCAAGTGTCTTGAATTGGAAAAAGCAAATAAAAGAGAAAAAATAATCTGTTTTTGTTTTCTGCTTTCCTTCTAAACCAGGTGATACTGCTTAGATTCTTTTTCCTCCTGTCTAATTTACATTTAACTTGGCTGCTGATAATATGTCTCTAATTTTTAATTTCAACTGATTACTGATGACGTACATGGGTTTGAAGTGAATCCTATAATCAGCCTTCATTTTCAGGAGTGAGTTAGGATTTTGGCTACCCATCTGAAAAGGAACTGAGTCCTTTTATGGAAATTATTGAAACATTCACCATCTGAACCTCTAAAAAACTCTATAGTGTGTATTTAATCATTGAATAACTGACAAACCTTGACTGTTTCAGATAATTTAGGTCTACCACCTTTAAAGACAGGTGCTTCTCTTTTGTTTAACAGGCTTTCTTTGGTTTTGAATATATCCATCATGACCTCCTTTAAAATAATTAAATCTCTCTGCTAATAGGAAATCTTTCAAGTAACACAATTGTTTTCTCATTAGGGGGATCATTTTAATAATTTAAATTATATTTGATTTATTGTATTAATTTTTTACTCAGAATTATTGCTAAGCTTTAGTTATTATGACATGAGTGGAATAGGCTATTGCCATCAAGAAATGGCTCCCTTATTATAATAAATAAAAATGGGAACTCACACAATTATGAAAAAGAAAAAAAGAAAGAGCTAAAATTGAGAAAAAAAGATTGTTCTCCAATCAGATATCATTAGTCCTGTGAAAGAGATCTCTGCAGCTATGTCAGATGTTTTGTATGCATGCAATAATTTGGCTAGTGCAGTGAGTAAGGTGAAAGTTGCATTTTGTGCCATTGTGCAACTACTGTACCCCCATTGCCAGGAATGACAGAACCTGTCCTGTTCCAGAAAAACATACTGCTTGTGAAGATAAAATTCTCCTAATTTGGTACCATGCTGTAGCTTTTTTTAGTTTGTGATTAGCAGTTAAGTTCAACTATTTGGCAGTCTGAGGACTCTTTTCAGTTTCTATTTAATCTTTGTCTCTGCCTTCAGAAGGTATTTGGTGATTGCTTAGTGCAACAAGCACTTTCTAGATGGCTTCTTACTGCAAGCAGCAGGGTGATTTCAGCCTGAGAGAACTTCTCTCAGTGCAGATGTGTTTCAGGGTGTTTTGAATACCTATAACACAGTCAAGGTTAGTCTTATCTGAACATTATTAATATACATAGGCAGAAAACAGGGAACAAGGAAGAAAAGATTCACTGCATGAGGAAGCATTCTTTAAGATACTGTAAACACTTTCTCTAATGTACATAAATATATACAATAATGTGAGTAAATCTGTAAGATATGAAAATCCATTTTTATCTAGTTAAATATTTTTCTGTAGAAATGTGTATAATTCAACCTAAGCACGCTCTAAGTATCATCCTCTTTATTTGCCTTTGAAGACAAAATGAAGTAATTTTAATATAAGATGCTAGAAGCATAGTTACTTGGAGCAGGCAGTAGCAAGTGTGACAGGATTATTGAGGAACTGTTTTCCCCTCAGATCCTGTAACAGGGAAAGAAAAAGGTGAAAACAGAAACAGCTTAACTCACCAAAAATCAAACCACTGCATTGCCCTTTTAGCCACTGAGTGGTTTGGGTTGAAAGACCAAGATTATATCAGTACAATAAAAACTCCCTCTGTCATAAGCAGTACACTATTCAGAAAGAAAAACCCCAAAACCCCAAAGAAACAAACAAAAAACACAAACCCACCAAAAAAACCCTGCAGATTTAGCCCAGCATCAGAGGCAGTAGAAGTTAGAGCAGGTAGAGGTGTAGAATATGAGGAGGGAGAAGCAAGGGTTAAAGGCATTATCGCAGCCATTAGAAGGAAAAGTTGTAGCAATACAAGCACAGTAGACTTCTTTCCCCCCACCCCTGTCCCCCCCCCCTTTTCCTTCCCCTACTCCTCTCTTCCCAAGCTGGATCAGTGTGTAGGGAGGGCAGTCATCACGCCATCCTGAGCAGCAAGAGCTGACGCTGGACGAAGCTGCCAGGTAGCTGAAAAAAGGCACAGAAGGCAGTTGATACCCACTTTTCAGCGGTTTGTGTTTTTCTAGTCTGTATCTGGACTTCAAGCAACACAGCGCCTGAGACAGCTCGTCTGAACCACACTGTATTGCAATACTAGCTCTTCTCAAAGAAAAAGACTCCACTGAGCAGCAGAATGCTGCCAGTGTCGCAGCCAGGTCTACAGTACAGAGCCTTTTTGTAACATTGCAAATTTCTTTCTGTTCAGATATTTGAAATACATACATACACTTATATATCAGTTCTTTCTTTTCTGAGGACACCTTTGGCTGTTTTTGGTTTTTTTTGTTTGTTTTTTTTCCTGATGTGACTTCTTCCTCTTGGAATGATGGGGATCTTTTTAGCTTATATTGGATTCATTTTCTTTTCAGTTATGTATATTCAACAAGGACTTTCTACCCAAGGTAAGATCACTTATTGTCAAATATGTGTGTGTCTGGTTTGCTATGCTAAAACAGACTGAGAACAGAATTGGGGGGGGGGGGAAGGAAGAAGGGAGAAAATAAGGAAAGCAATGAAAATGTGTAAGAGGTGAGGACACCAAGCATCATATTTACATTTAGTTTGTACAGAAAAAATTGCCTGTAAATAGGAAAAAAAGTGAGAAGTTTCCCCAAAGTAGAAGTATAAAAGGCTTCCTTCACCCAAATGCAAAGAGGGAAATAGCAGGCACCTTGCAGAAGAGTGAAGGGGTGCTGGGGAATGGACATGCATGTGTTTGAGTTGTCCATGTTGTTATCGAGGCATGCTTGCATACAATAAACACCCACCCGTGCATGCATAATTATTGCATTCAGACCAAGTACCGGCTGGCTAAACCTACTGCTTCTTTTAAAATATTGCAGTCTCCTTCTGTGCTGCTTTCCCTTTCCTCTCTTATTATCCTGCAATCCTCAGAGTCAGACCTTCATTCCTATTCCGTGACTATGTGTATTTCTACCACTCTATCCCATAAAAAAAAAAAAAAAAAAAAAAAAGAAAAAAAAGAGAGAGAGAGAAAAAGACAAAATCGACTTCTTTGAATGCCTCCCCCACCCTTGTCGCCTTCCTCCCTCCCTCTCCGCCGAAAGGCGCGCCTTGCATTTCAAGCAGCCCCGGCGCTGCAGGAGCCGGCTGTTCGGGACCCCGGGGCTGCGGCGCCGCCGTCAGCACCACGGACAGATCCCGACCCTGCCCGCCGCCCCCGCTGCCCCCGCCCGCTGCTGCGCCTGCTGCCCGAGCCCTCCGCCCCCTGCCCGCTCCCGCCGCCCCCTGCCCGCCGCCCCTGCTCGCCCTCCCAGCCCGCAGCTCCCCGCGGCATCCGGGGGGATGCCGGCAAGCAGTCACCTCCGTGTCCCCACACCGCTCACGCCTACAGACCAGGAGGGGAGAGAAGGAGCAAACCGAAAAGAAACCCCAAACCAAACTTACTAGCACCTAACACTCAAAATGTACGGTCCTTTTTGGCAGTTTAAGTCGGTGACTAGCAATGGCTGGCTGGTGGGGGCGGGGGTCTGAAAAAGGGGCACCGTGGAATATAAAGCTAGCAGCTTTGAAAGTATTTGTTGCCAGGTGCAGATGTAAGGGTAAAGAGAAGTAACACTGGTTACCAAATTATCCCACCAATTCCAGGCTGGCTAGGAAGACTGTATAAAGAGAGGGGAAGAGGGGAGGAGACAGGGAGCAATATTTCTTTCGCATCACATTTCCTTCAGATCATAATATGCTCTAGTCAATCTGTAGCTATTAATAACAGAAAGTGACATTGCAGAGTCTTTCCAATTTTTCCTCTTCTTGAAACACAACATTTATTTATTAGATTGTTTTTCTGCAGACCCCCTCACTTGATTATCATGATTCATTATGTTGCACAATTTTAAAGTGAGCAATGGGGAGGAAGAGAAGGAAATAAAGACTGAGACTTGAAAAATTACTGATGTGTTTGACAATGTCTATCAGCATTAGCTTTTATACCTAGCAGTGGTAAACTGAAATGGGCAGATCCTGTTGAAGGACTGAGATACAAATATGAATGTTAGTTCTAGAAAGTGTCTTCTGGGACTGAGAAACAGAAGGTGAATTGATTTTGGTCTGATTATGCAAGCAGAGGTTCTCAGAATCTAAGTAACTAAGTCAGGTAAAGCCTATGAAAAGGACATTTGACGAGTTATTGTAACACTCAGTCAGAAGAGTACCCAGAGGTGCCTGTGCCATTAGCTGCTTCAGCTGGCTGTGGAATGTTTAACAATTTACAGGTCTACAGCTCAACCCTACAAAATACAATAAATCAGTCTGATTTTTTTCCTCTCCTAAAGTGGTCTTGTACAAAATTCCTCAGTGAGTCTGGTGAAATACTGCATTCTGCCCAAGGGTATTTGGAGCTAATTATGTGAAACTTCACCAGCTCATGAGAGCAAGCAGGGGGATCTATAGCATTTCCCATAAGCAGAATTGAGAGTGTAAAGAGGGTGGATTTGTGCATAAGGGAGGAAAAACATACCTGTATGTGAGAAAAACCAGGGGAGATAATGTGTGGGACATTCAGGAGAAAAAAAAAAAAAAAAAAAAAAAAAGAGTGGGAATCAGAAAACTTAAAAAAGGGGGGGAGGGGAGAAACAATAAAAAATAAAAAATAAAAAAAAAACCCCAAGAAGCAGAGCATAACTTATTAGAAGGTAGCAATCTGTTATGCATTTGTTTTACAGCAAAATTCACAGAGTTTCCCCGAAATGTCACGGCCACTGAAGGGCAGAACGTGGAGATGTCTTGTGCTTTCCAAAGTGGCTCTACTTCGGTGTACCTTGAAATCCAGTGGTGGTTTCTGCGGGCAGCTGAGGACCAAGAGGCTGGTGCTGAGGTGACAGGCACTCAGGTAGTGATCCTCTGCATGGGGGCATAAAACCGTCTGGAGAATGCTACAGAAAGGATGGGGAGGAAAGGGGAGAAGGAAAGTAGGGAAGAGCAGAAAGAAGGAGCAGAAAGAGGTTCTGCATCTCCCAAGGGACTTAATTTTGACTATGAAATAACAGAGCAGGAAACTGCAGAGGAAAATGCTCATCTCAGGGGTCGGTGCCTTTGGTGCCTATCACTTCCATGATGCAGCCAGGGCTGCCCACAAAACCACACAGGTTTCCAAAGTCTATTCCCCCACACCTCCTCCCTGCCTTTTTAATTTTTTTTTTTATTGTTTCTTTTCCTTATTTCATTCTCCCTTGGAAAGCAGCTGTTCAAAGATTGCTCCTCGTGGGAATTTTGTATTTCCCATGTGGCAAGATCCTACACGTGCCTTCCAATTTCCATCTAGCGCAGCCGAGGTGGCAGCCCCAACTCCGTAAGCAGCTGCCACAGGAGGGCACACGCAGGAGGGGGCGGGGGAGGCAGGGGGAAAAAGAAGTAAAGCCTAAAGAAGTAAAAACCCACAATCAGTCAACGGCGTGATTTCATCCTTCTGAGCGGGACAAGAAGGGCTATGTCCACTCACACTGCCATTAGGAGATGCTCGTCCCTATGGCCGCTGCTATCTCCTCACCAGTCGCGGCAAAAGGCGCCCATGCGAGGAGGGAGGGCGGAGGGTCCGCGGGTCCGCGTCGCTCGGCCGCCCGTGCCGGCAGTGCCCGGCTGTCCCCGGCTGTGCCCGGCTGTGTCCGGCTGTCCCCGGCTGTCCCCGGCTGTGTCCGGCTGTGCCCGGCTGTGTCCGGCTGTGTCCGGCTGTGCCCGGCTGTGCCCGGCTGTTCCCCGGCTGTGCCCGGCTGTTCCCCGGCTGTCCCCGGCTGTGCCCGGCTGTGTCCGGCTGTGTCCGGCTGTGTCCGGCTGTCCCCGGCTGTCCCCGGCTGTGCCCGGCTGTCCCCGGCTGTGCCCGGCTGTGCCCGGCTGTGTCCGGCTGTTCCCCGGCTGTCCCCGGCTGTCCCCGGCTGTGCCCGGCTGTGCCCGGCTGTGTCCGGCTGTCCCCGGCTGTGCCCGGCTATCCCCGGCTATCCCCGGCTGTGCCCGGCTGTGCCCGGCTGTGCCCGGCTGTGCCCGGCTGTCCCAGGCGCGGCCCGCAGGTGGCAGGCGCGGCGCGCCGCTCCACGGGCAACGCGGCGGGACCGGAGCGGGAGCTGAGCGGGAGCGGGGCGAGGGCCGGAGACCCACGGCAGCGCTCCTTTCCCTGCAGGTGGAGTTCCTGCCCGAGCGGGACCTGGACAGTGACGGCACGAAGATCAGCGTAAGTGTCGCCTCAGGGCGCGGGCAGTCCCCGCCGGCCGGGGGTCCCTTCCCCAGTGAGGGTCCACCTCGCCTCCGAGCGCCCAGTGCTCCTGCCCCGCATCTCCTCCCTATCCGCACCGCAGATAGTGGGTAGCTGGGCAGCTCAGCGATTGGACTCGATGATTCTATAATTCCTTGACTACTTCCTTGACGGCCCTGGCAGAGGGTGCCAGGACAGACATTCCCCATGCAGCCCTCCCCCCCCACCCCCCGCACCCTTGGACATGGAGGCACAGACCAGCATGGTCGAGGCAAAGTCCATGATCTGTTTGTACCTGTGAAAGATTCAGCCTGCACCTATCCTTGCATTTCTTGTTCCCATTTACCCTGGGCAACTGCTGAGTCTGCCTTAGCACTCCAAAGTTGGTTTTAAGGCTGAAATTTGTCCATAAAGCTGCACTTGCCTTTAGCAGGGTGTGCAACTTCTTAAATGGGTGTTTTCTCAGGTCCATACCTGCTGGCAGAAAAAAAGCTGGGAAAGACTTTGGACAAAACCTCCCCATTGGGAGCAATCTCAACTCTTGACAACAGAGACTCAGTTTTATGAAAGTGAGATTCTGACACCAGTTAGCATTCTGCTGCTTGGAGATTAAACCAGAATCTTATCTCAACAGAATTATAAAGCAGCATTGCTCAAATCCCCCTGTTCCCTTGCAGGGAAAGGATGCCTCCCACAGCCAACTCATGTCCTGTGTCAGGCACAGCCTGAAGGCTGCTTCTGACCTCAGAATAGGTCAGATCCTTTTCCCTCAGCATCCCAAGAAATGTATGGTGGTGGGATGATGGTGTGGTGCTCACTGCAGTGGAAAGACACAGATACTTAGCAGATACTGCAGCATGAATATTCCCTTTCAGCCCACAGGGGTTTTCCCTTTCTCTGGCATAATCGCTTTGGAAGTGTTTTTTAGCTGCAGACAAGGCTTTGAGTACCAGTAAAGCTTAAAACAGCAACAAATAAAGGGGAATAATTTCTGACAAATCCTTTTCTCTGCTGTTTTTTGATGCCTACAAATAAGAAACCAGATAATTACATCAGGTCAAAGTACACCTAAGTATAGCTGAAGGGGATTTATAAATGAGGACCCAGGTATACTGTGTTCAATACAGTACATATGCTAGCCATACTTATATTTTCTGTGATACTTCTCACCATCGACTAGAAATGCTTTGTGTCATGGACCATATCTTCAGTTGCATTTGTAGACTATCTTACAAATGAGGCTCACATGTGGTCCTTGGCTACTATTCTACTAGACATAGGGCTAGCAGATAATTCCTTCCTTATCAGTACTGGCTCATTTGAAATCCCTGAAGTAGTCCACAAGAACTGAGACACAATATAGACTGTAAAGCTTGTCTCATCTTTGAATTTACAAATCTCTTTCATTATGTATAATAATGATTAATGAGAAGGTATTTACAGTGCTCCTATAAGCTTGCATAAAACATTTATTTTATATTTGTAATAAAAATAGTCAACATTATGTTGCTGTCTAAATCTACTTTTTATCTACTCTTTACAAATGTACCCCTATTTTTATAGGCATACACAGCTCCATTAGTAGTAATGTAAATTATCATAATGAAGAGAAAACTAAGGTACATTTAATAATTTTTTTTTTTTAATGCTAGATGTAGGCTGAAATACATCATTTCTATCTGTTCTAAATGATAAAGCAGCACAAACTGAAAACATGCATATATGTTACCTGCAAGAATTTCTAAATTTCAAATACAAAATCAAAAACAATTCTGTTTTTCACCAGGGCTATGCAGCACTGTTAATTTTGTGGCCCTTGCACAGGAACAAATGAAGTCACAATATAACCTACCAATCTTCTTTCAATTCCTATGAATCTTCTTTAATCCTTTTGCTGAACATGAATTGTTCAGTAGAGATATATTATTATTGAATATGATTTAAATATCTATCCAGCACTTTCTGTGCAATTAATATTGCATACATTATACCTGTGAGTATGTAATCTATACTTTCAACTCAGTTTGCTAAGTATAAATTCAGAGCTGGGTACAACACAACAGGCTATAAAGTCCATCCAGTACCTTAAAGCAATGACATATTCATGAGTATTGCTCTTCAATTTATCAAGAAGGCATAATAGGTGCCTTGCCAACACTGGTCACATTAGGCCAAGCTGTCAGAAGCAATATATTGTAGAATCCCCAATAATATCTGTCTAGCCTCAATCTAGTAGTTTTCTATTTTTGTGATCTAGCATGTATTGATCATCTTGATGACTCCTTATTGGCTGTCACTGATATGACACAAGGCAAACTTTGCGTCCATGTTTATGTAACGATGGAAGTAAACCACCTTCGAACCTTCCGAAGTTCTTCAAAGCTGAAGATTTATATTCCATGGAATACCTTTTAATTTGCTTCCTGTGGGGCAACAGATATTAATTCAGATAGAGAGTAATAGAAAATTAATTTAATATAAATTCTCTGAAGTGATGAACATACAGAAAGGAATCAGTGTTAACTTTTCCCAATGCATCTTAATACCTATCACTTATTTCTGGATGTATAATTTACTCATGTTTGTTTTAATTATCAGAAATAAAAAATACGTTATGTTGCCCTCAGATATTAGAACTAATTAAAAATAAATCAGGAGTCTTTTTTTAGCTGACAACTTTTAAAACAATTCTGAACATGTGCTTCTAATAAGTATACAGATAAACAAGGGAAAAGAAACAACCTGACACAATATGTCTTGTTATCATTAACAGAAAAAAATACCAAAGGTTTAGACACACTTGAAGGGGACAAACTGAGTGCAAAATATAGTTTCAATATAGTGAAGAGTACAAGCTAATCTAATAAATAGTTATTTGCATAGTTTAAATCTTCATCTCCAACAAAATTGTTAATGCACTAGTTCAGAAACAGAGTTATTCAATAAAGCCAACTAACTGGAAAGGTTTAACCAATAAAGTACACGGATACTAGGTTTACATAAGAAAGCTCATTAAAAATGTTCATGATCTTAAACAATTAATTGGAATGAACATGGTAGTTTGGGGTTTTTTTCTGAAGCTAATTAGATTTCAGAGCAAACTATCTAAGCAGATTTGGAAAGATGATTTCAGGCATCCTCATAGATAATATTAGCCATACTCATCCTTGATGTAACTTTCCTGCAGTAAGCACAATCACACCATCAAGTAAATAGGTGCTATGCCCATAGAGTTTTTCCTAAGAAAAAAAGAATTCATGACAGTGGCTTTTTCTCTGTTTTTGGTTTTTTTTTTTTCCCCTGGAAAATTTGCAGACAGTGAAGGTACAAGGGAATGACATCTCCCACAAGCTGCAGATTTCAAAAGTGAGGAAAAAGGATGAAGGCTTGTATGAGTGCAGGGTGACCGATGCCAACTATGGAGACCTTCAGGAATACAAGGCCCAGGCATTTCTCAAAGTCAATGCTAACAGCCACTCCCGGCGAATGCAAGCCTTTGAGGCATCCCCGATGTGGTTGCAAGACATGAAACCTCGTAAAAACATCTCAGCAGCTGTCCCAAGTAGCATCCACAATTCTGCCAATCAGCGTGTACGTGCCACCTCCAGCCCCGAAGCAGCAGCCAAAATCCCCAAACAAAGTCCGCAATCAGGTATGGTAAAGCATTTTGAGCTTTCATTTGATTGCTTACCAGCATGTAAAAGGAGGCTAAATCAACAAGGTAACCAGGAATTGTGACTAGGAGAGTGTGGTGCTCATTTGTTCCTCCTTCTTCTGGTTCTATTCTTCCTGCTATCTCTTTACTTCCTAAAATCTGAAGAATAAGTTTCTGAGCAGCAGAAGAAAAAAACCTTAAAATTCTATATGTGGATTTTATCTCTACCAGTTTTACCTACCTAAGGCTAGCTCTCAAATCAAAGCTTAGTTTTTTTCCTGTAGTGTGTGTGGAGAGACAGGGGCATGTCAGTGAATAACTCATCTCATTTTAAGATGTCTGTGCATGATAAATTAAATAAAACACTCATCCAGATGTGTTTCTTCCTAAGTTATTTTACACTAGTCACCTAACTTTTGCCTACAACATTTGTTAAAATTAATCTACTTTCACTGGCAACCCTATTTTCATAAGGAACTTGACTTCTAAATCTAACCAGACCTTAGAGACACCAGATAGTTTCTCTGTTGTGTAGGACCATGGGTGTCTCAGAGAGTGTGTTTGTCATCTTCAAGTGCTTGATCATTGGCTTTGAATCAAGGGTTGAAATGGCAGTGCCTCTGTTGTCTGTCATGTAGAAATTAGCATTTTATACATTTTGTTGGGGAGATTTTGTTCACTCCTACATACATAACCTATAATCAATATCAGTCTTCACTTTCTACATTGTTATCATAAAATTCACAGTTATGCAAAAGTACATGAATATACAGGAGGTTCAGTTCTATATGATGGCAATAGAGAAATGGACAAGATAAAAAATTGAGATTTAAATTATCAAATATCCTCTGTAAAACAAACTGTGCAAGTTTAAGGGTTTCTGTGTTACTTCTATTTAAACTGAGAGCCAATGTAAGGTGCAAAAACACAGCATACCTTAAAACGTAATGGAAACTAATTAACTCTGATGCATCATTTTTCTGCTAGTATGTTGTTAAATCAAAAACTGTGAATACAACAAATTTCACAGCACACCTGTTGTGAAATCACTTCAAAGTTACAGCAAGAAAAGTTAGAAAGACTTTTTTATGAGGAAAATGCATTTCCATACAGATTGGAACAATATGATTATTCATATAAAAATTCTTATTGCTGTTAAAAAAGGTGATGCATATACTATCAATATTTTACCTCTGTATACACTTTTTTAAATTTATGTAAGTTACATTCAGTTTTCTTTTCCTGAAATGAAGCCACTTTCATTTTTAAGCTCTTCCAAAAATATCTAAGCTCTTAGAAGAAAATAAATATATCACTTGATTTAAAACTACCATTCTACCATGGCTTTCCTTTCAGATAAACATATGCATTTCTTATTTTCCATTTGACTCATACACTTCAAAGCAACAGACTTTTCCATAAAGGGAAAACTCTGCTTTGTATTCCATCTTATGTGAAATTAATTAAAATAGTCAGAGGTTTATGAAATATGTAGCAACTGACTATACTGCATTGCAGCCGAAGTGTGCACAAAACAGCTAATCCACTAAATCATTTTGGATATATAATTTATTCTATGGTATTTTTTATGTCCTTAGTCCAAGCAATGTCTTGACTGATTACTGGACATTTCTTATTTGAGATCTTGTAAGTTATTACATGGAAAGTTCCTGTTACGAAAAAAAAAAATTAGTTTTTTTACTTGAACAAAGATTAATGCAGATCATGTACAGACAATCCTAATCAAAATAATTTTAAAATTGAAAAGATAAAACATAATTTAGTTTATTGGCTCATTTTTTATGATCAAGCACAGACAAATGCTACATTCATCAGACATGTAGCTTATCTACTGAAGAACTAAAAGTGTATCAGGAATCACCCACTTAATTTAAATTTAATGGTCACTTGCCCCACAAATGATTTGTGATATTTTTAATATCAGATTTTAGACATCACTTAAACTGTTGACAACCAAGATTTGCTTTCCTTTACTTGAGAATATCTTGGCCTGGCTTTTCCAGTTGTGGTGAGATTTGGATTTTTGTTTTATTTTATGGTTGTTCTACAGTAATAGAAATACCCACAGAAGCACAAGAAAATGGGGACTTTTAGCTTTATCTAACTTAGAGAAGCAACTTCAGCTGAGGGAGGGGATATATAAATTGTGGGACGTCAAATAAAGCAGAAATGAGATTTCATAGATGTTAATAGTCTATCTTTTTATGATACAGAATCAACACAACTTCCTTACTTTATCAAATGAGAGTCTTCTCCTCTTTAACATAATGCAACCATATTTATGCATGTGCAAGACTGGTGTGTGATTACATTATATGTAAACAATGTATTCATCCAGCCTAGAACTTTGAAACATGTTCGAATACAAATGTAACATAAGTACATATTTGTACTTGAAAGATGTACATGTTGTGATGTTTGTTCATGTTGAGTAAAACACTGACTTCAGCAATACTGATTGAAGAGAAAAGTACTACTAACCCTAGGTAATTGTATCAAATATTCTCCAGTATAAAGAGCTGGTATGTAGTTATTGGCAAACAATAAATTTTACTGCCATGCTCACAGATTATCGTGAAATACATTTACAACAATGGCACTGTGGAATTATTGGAAATTCTGTATTCAGCTGCTGCTGAAGAACTCGACTACTAATAGATGAAAAACTGACTCAGATTATATGACTATTTTGTCCCTAAAAAATATTTTTAAAAGGTAGATAACAGTCTACATGACTTCTTGTATCCTGAAGCACACTGCAGAATTTTGTTTATTTCTTAACAATGGATATTTACTGTGTAGCTCTGTAGAAACATTTTATAGTCACTACCATTTTAAAACATCAGCACTTCCCAGCTGAACAGATATTTCTGCTATTCTCTTACTCATTCAAAATAAAAATCACATACAGTATCTATGATAACTGTCAGGGAGCTATATAGCCACAGCTGACAAATTAAAGTGCTACAAGGCCCGTTCAGTATTTTCCACTGCTCTGAAAAATATTATCTGAGTGTAGAAAAAATATATTTATTACTGTAAGCATAATGGAGATTCAATGCAGGAAGAAATAGCTAATGAGAACACCTCCCACAGAGTCTTCATATAATATACTAAGAAGCACTCAAAGTCAAAAAAGTCAGGCAAGCAGAAATCAAAGCCAACACAACTTGACCCTTTCATTTCATAATTATGGGCTGCAGCAAAGGAAGTAACCCATCACAGCTTAATAGGAATCAGAGTAATTTGACAGAGTAATCTGCATACATCCAAAAAAACATCCTATGCATGTGGAGTGACAGACATATTTTTTTCCTGAATTATTCATAACAATCTATCTTAGTCCAAAGGTAAAAGTATAGACTTATGACAAAACCTGCAATTCTAAGGAATTAAATGGGGTCCAAGAGTTAAAATGAATTCAGCTGAAAGGAAGCTAAATAATCTCCAAGCTGCAGAAAATGTCATTGTTTCATGGATACAAATCTAAACTAACTCTGCTGTCTGCATTCAAATCACTCAACATTTATAGCAACAAAACCAGCTGAAGAATTTGTTGTGCAGAGAATGAGTATATTCCCCCAAGCTCTTCCTGTTCTGCCAATGCTCTGTTAAAGCACTCAAAGCCATTAGTTGCTTTTCAAACTCAAGAAGATCAGTCTCAGAGAATTACAAATGAAGAAGTGACAATTAGGTCAATTTTCTGCCTGCTTATATACAGACTCTGCACATTTCTAGCAACTTTTTGTTCTTTCATGAAGTAAAAAATTCATCTATCAAGCTATCTACATGCCAAAACTTCCTGTTATGATGGCAGAGTTCCAACTAATGACTTGAAAAGTAACTCAGAGGAGAAGGTGATACTTACCTAGGCAGAATGACCTGGATTCTTGGCATCATAAATCACAATGAGAAGCTTATCATCAGGCATGAATGCAAAAAAAAGAGGATAAAATTTTTTTCTTCAATCTGTTCATACTTACAAACTGAGGACATTACTTCCTGTCTCCATTTTTATCTAGAGAATCTAGGAAACTTTTGTCATCAACCTATTTTAAGTACTAATTTTATGTCCAGTTTGGAATCTTTCAGAATATAAACCAGTTTCCATGTTGGTTTTTTTTTTTTTATTCTTTTTAATTTATGTTCCATCTCCTCTCAAAGCCAAGGAACAAAATGTCTGCTCTACCCTCCACCAAGGTGACAGCCACCATTACTGCTTTCTTCCCTAAAATAATCTTTGGCTTTCATAGTTACTGTTTTGGAAACTGAGGAACCAGAAGTCTGGGACACACCAACCATTACTGTGACTGTGGCTTAGTAAAAAGTCATGTTTCTGTTTCCTTTGGACTTCATGAAAGCAAAAGCCCAATTACATTTTTGTTCTTCTTGTTCTGGACCTTATCCAGCTGTTCTCAGAAATGCTTCCAAAAACACTATTCCAATTTACACCTATATACACTGCAACCTCTGTTTTTACTTGAAATATACACTTTAATTCCCTCTTCATGAAAAGATGCTGCTCTACTTCTTTTAGCTTCTCAAAATAATGGAATCAATTCAAACCATGTTAGTTGATGTAGCCCTAATAGCTATTAGCTCTTGACCTTGAAACTGTAAACATCTTTTGAGAGGTGCTAATGTGCTCTGAGTAAATTAATTGACAAAGCAACACCTTTACAGCAGCTAACCCTCCACCCACTGTTTTTTTTTTTTTTTTAAGGCAAGGATTTCCAATGTAAAATATGTAAAATCCACTCAATAATGCCTTATGTTTCTTTAAAAAAAAACACATCTTAATTTCTTATATGTGTACTTAGTGATAGAAGAAAATGCATACAAGTACTTAAAATCCTGTTCCTACTGCTTAGTTCACCTAGACCCAGAAACAAACTTCCTGGTGTATCTGCAGTTCTAACTCCTGTAACAAGCATGTTACCTGTTTTTTGTAGCCATCCTTCATTGCCTTTGCCAAT